TCGGATCTTAGAGCGATTATCGCCCTCCTATAAAAGTTAGAGAGCCGATCTCACGATCGCGCGCCGTAAGTGTCGTAGACTAAGAACTACGTCCTGGCTGATCTCACATCTGGTTTTCAGGAGTAGGGTCTCGAGCTTAAGAAAAACACCTGTAATAGGATCTCACATCTGGTGGTCTGAATCCAAAAACTTGTAGCAACTCTCACAGTGGTGTCGCAGGAGTGGTTGTCGAACTAAAGAGAAACTCCCTAATAACCTCTCACAAGTGGTGTAGATCTGATTCGGATTGAGAGACAACTAGTTGATAAGTTGAAATAAGATAATTTTTAAGTTAATTATACGATAGAAATCAGGATGGATAGAGATAGAGAAGAACCTCCGCGAGCTACGTTAGCTGGTAATCCAACAACGTTAGGCGGATTAGGGGGAATGATTCCGTTGCTACCGGTCTTCTCAGGGGACGCAAAAGGTCCAAAGGTATCCGAATTTTTTGATACGTTAGCAGATGTGACGAGAGTAGCAGCATGGTCGAAGGCACAGATGCTGGCTGTAGCTAAATTAAAATTGACTGGCATTGCCCGGGAATTCGTGCATAAGGACCGGCGAGTAAAGGACGTAGAGGATTATGAGGAATTTAAGAAAATAATGATAGAGCGTTTTGAGAAGGTCCCATACACATATCGAATCCAGAAATTCTACGCGTGCGTCCAGGCCAGAGATGAGGACGTACAGACGTTCGCCGTACGACTCCAGGCCTTAGCCGAGGAGGTTGAGATTGAACATGAAGGCGTGAACGAAGCCGAAATAGAAGTCATAAAACGGGTTAAAGAAAAAGAATTGGACGAGAGGCTGAGAGTTCAATTTTTGAACGGGGTCGACATAAGGATAAGAAAAAGGATTATGTCCAGAGAACCCGAAACATTTGACCAGGCTCTAAAAATAGCAATAAATGAGGAGAATATCGAACTCCTCACTTCTCATCCTAGAGGTCTTTTAAAAGTAATAAAAGAAGAAGAAAAATTAGCAGATAATAAGGAGGATAATTTAAAGGAAACTGAGTCTGATCCCGGAAGACAAATGAAAGAAGTAGTTAAGGCTATAGGGGACTTAAGAAATCAATTTAATACATTTGTAAGACAATCCCAGGAGAAAAGGGATGAGGGTAGAGGACGAAATACGAAATATCTCCGATCAACGGAACAAGTTCATAGCGGAAACCGTCCACAAACATTCGACTTCCGTCGGAGAGGAGTAAATGATCGGATGCAAAGAAATAGTTATCAACCTAGGGTTAACAATACGTGGAGAGGTGTAGTAAAATTTGTAGGAAATCAGCGTACGCCAAACCAATATAGAAACCCTCACAGACATAAAAGGAAGGGTCAAGGTAGCAAGAAGGATCCATATATTTTAGTATATGTTAATAATATACCTGTAAAAATGATGGTAGATAGAAATTTAGAGACTACCATCATAGATAAGGGCTTGGTAAAGCGATTAGAGGGAAGAGCCTCCGTAATCCTTGGAGAAAAGAACAAATTAGATATTCGTCCCGGAAAAACGATTCAGACATTAGGTGTTGCGATACCCATATTCAAACTTCGAGGCCATAAATTTACCAATACATGTAAAGTAGTGCGTTCTGAGGTCACCGCTCCATGCATGGGCATAATTGGACGTGACATATTACAGCAGGAGCAAATAGAAATAGATAATCATAATGGAATGATTATACTGCCAAATAAAAAGGAAGTACATTATTGCTCATCTAAGTCACCAAGAGATAATTATTATAAAAAGAAGTCAGTTAGAGTAGAGAAAAATAGAAATCAAAGCGGAAGCGATTTAAGATATTTGGAAAGAAGCGTATTGAGGAGTGTTCGAGTGTCTTCCCGCCGAAGGCCCAATAAGAACGAACACATAGTGACAAAGCGAAAGACAAAACACAAGTCGAAAAATAAAAAGGCCGGGCGTAAGCTAACTAAACTGAAAAATAATATGGGTACGGATATAAAGTTAGGGCGTTGGAAAAAATTATTAAAAGAAGAGAAATCCTCCAATAAGCTTCAGTTAGAAAATAAGGAGTTAACAAATAAGGTCGATCTAGCGCATCGTCAAGAAAATACAATAATGGAAAATAAGGTAGAACTTAGAGGCGACCAGAGCAGAGCAGAGATGAATTGCTCTAGAGGTCAATTAATAGCGGATCTCTATAAATTAATATGTCTACTGATGTCGTTATTAAAAATTATCTCCGGCAAGAATATGAATACGGAAGATAAAATAACAGAAAGTAAGGAAGTTGAATTGGAAGTAGAAGCTTTTAAAAGCCGTATACCGATAGCTGTGTTTAAAAGACATAAGAACTATCCGATCATGGATCCGGACAAAATTATGAGGGATAAACAAATGGGGAAACCCATAAACCAATAACAATAGGAAATAGTTAACTCGGAAATCAGTATTTCTTGGTTGGATTGTCCTCTCCCTTGGTATTTTCCTTGTCCTAGTATAAGATATTTGAGGAATAGTTTAAATAGACATTAGAGTATAAGATATTTGAGGAATAGTTTAAATTACGAAACCTTGAACTCACCTCTCAAGCTAATAGTAAATCCAATATAAATCAGATAGAAGAAAGTTTTGAAGATAGGGGAGTTGTCCCCAGTGGAAGACGAGATTCCTTCGAGAACTTATTAAAAATGTATTAATATAATTTATTACAAAATTATTACAAGGAATAGGATTTGCGATGCAAGAATTTCATACACAAGTAATTGAAATAAGAGAAGCTATTGACGTTTTAGAGCAAGGAAAATTAAGCTCGTATGTTATCTCAAAGGAAGTGATGTATCGTACGTTACGTGAAATACAACCACAACTTCCGGAAGGTTATTCATTGATAGAACAAGTCAAAGCTGACACTCTCTTTAAATTTTACCAGTGGATTACTTCAGTTGCTATCGCACTCCCAGGAAAATTAAGAATTTTCGCAAAAATGCCATTGAAAATGCCTAGTGGATATTTTGATGCTTACGAAATTTTGGGATTACCTACATATATTCCTGCATTGAAAGCTTATGCATATTTTAAGACTGAATATCCCATTTTAGCATTGTCAATGGATCGTCAATCGTACATGTTGTTACGTCATNTTTGTTTATTTCTCGACATAATTGCTGTAAATGTTGAGACATTTATCCCAGCATGATACTAGTTTGAACATCCCTTCACAGTACTGTTGCTTGAAGTAGTCAAGAACGGTGTCTTGCAATTCCTACTGATTCACAAAGCATTTCCCTGCCAAAAATTTCTTTAAAGGTCCAAATAAATGAAAATCCAAGGGGGCTAAATCTGGACCATACAGAAGATGTTGCAGGATCTCCATTGTACCAATCACAGTTTGGTTTGATTTGCCATGTGGAGTATAGTCCAGATTTAGCTCCCTTAGATTTTCATTTATTCGGACCTTTAAAGAAATTTTTGGCAAGGAAACACTTCGTGAATCAGTAGGAATTGCAAGACACCGTTCTTGACTACTTCAAGCAACAGTACTGTGAAGGGATGTTCAAACTAGTATCATGCTGGGATAAATGTCTCAACGTTTACAGCAATTATGTCGAGAAATAAACAAAAGTGTGTAATTTTTGTGGAATGCATTAAATATTTCCTTTAATTATAAATGTTAGTGTAATTTTGGCCTGTGCCTTTAATATCGGACTCCCCTCATACATGTAAATTACTAAAACAATATGCCAAAAATTAAATGTTTAAATCATATAAGTATTAAATCATTTGACTGGAGATTAAAATTTTTAGAGATACTATATATTCTTAATGTTAAAAAGAACGACTTTTCATCTGCAGATGCAAATTTTTAATTTTATTTTTGCATTATGTTATTTTATAGATGTATATAGAAAAATAATAATTATTAATTTTTTATAGTGAAATTTTATTTTGTGTTTTTAAAAAGTAACCAAATTATTTATCCCTCTACATCATATTTGACTAAATAGATGTTTTGATTCTTCAAAGAGCTTAAAAGAATATTTTTCTGGTGTTAATGAAATAGTAAAATTCATAATAAATGTGATTAGGCTGCAATTTGAAAAAATTGTAGACATATAAATTCTCACTGTCATCCATTTGTCTGTCCTTCCTTAGTCTTAAGAATGGAGTTTGATGCAGGAAAATCAAAATCAGATTAGAAAGCTTAGAGGCAGGAGGCACTAATTAACTATATAAGAATTTCTGATAAAAACCAGAAGTTATGTTATTTCAATTCAAAACTTTAAAACTTCTCCCCTGAAAAGAGTTGGATAGATGACTGGCACGACTCATTGCCAATGGAAAAGTTTGATGTACAGGGCCAAGACACTACAGTACTAATCTGAGTTGGAAAGCATGTATTTTAAATGAAATAAATTAAAAATATGATTAAAACTTGCAGTCTAGCATTGTGATGATGTCATAATAAATAATTGCTTGTTGATATTACATTTAATAATATAAGTTGATATAATTTTAAGGAAGGAAAGTTGCAAGGAATTATAGTATATTTTTTATTCAGTAAATAAAATGTTTGAACTCTAATGGCTATATTCACCAACAAAGAGTTGAAGTTAACCAACCAGAACTCGTGTACTTAAAGCAACATGAATGATGATTGATTGACTTTGATTTCTAGTCTCAACTCTCTGTTGGTGAATACAGCTGCAAGAAAACACCAGTGAGTGATTTGTTGTCCTTGATTTTAGTTTTAAATGAACACTTGTATTAATTTTAAATATATAATAATTTAATAATAAAGTGTAATGTATGCAAATTTATGATGTATGATTTTACAAAACTAATACATAAATATGTTTAATAAAAATTCTCTTATTATGTAGAAAGAAGAAAATATTGAAAATTTTTCTTATGTTGATGATAAATTTATTTTAAGTTTTTATTTTAAAAGAATAGTTAAATTACATTTTTTGATGTTTTTCTGACAGGATAATTAATCAACAGAATGAATTTTATAAGAGATATGAACCTACAGAAGAAGAGCTAGAATTGGTAATTATCTATTTTTATTCATAGAAATAAAATCTGGAAAATTCAGTCTTTATTGTATGAATTTTAATTTTCAGATTATTAGATTATTTTAAAAAAACTGAGGTTAAAAATATCTTCAATGAAACTCATGTTATAATAATTTCTACAAAATCAAAATTTTATAAGATTTTATGTATGAAATTTGTTACTGAAATAAAAATTAAAATATTTATTTTCTACCTTTTTTAATATCTGCAATATTTTTACAATCTCAGATACTTTATTTTTTCAGACCATAAATTTAATTATTATTTTTTTATTAATAGAGAAGGGAAGCAAGAAAACAAGAGCAAGCTAATAATCCACATTACTTAAAATCATCATTAAGTAAGGTAAATGATGAAATTTAATTGATAAAGATTAATAAAATAAAATTATCCAAAATTAATTTGATTATCAAATTTTTTAAGAAATTCTTCTGTTTATAAATAAGTTAGATTATGATATTGATAAATTAAATTATTTTTGAAAGTTAAATCTGTATGAAAAAGTTAAAAAATCAGTTTATATGATGTACAGTACATTATTTTGTTCTAAAACATTTTAATAGATTCTTATGATATAAATATATATAAGAAATGAGAATTTATATATATAATTCTCTGTTTTTTTTTTTAATTTCAAGTATCAGTAAATTTAAATGAGTAATTGAGTAATTCATAACCTCTATATAAAATTGGAGTTTGAATATAATATATATATGAATATATGAGAGCCTCAGAAGTGAAACGTGTTAAGTGACATTAGTATCATTTTCAGTATTTCACTATTAAAGTGAATGAACATTTGAATAGGTTTTACATGCGGCTATAATACTGAAAATGGTGCTAATGTCACATAGATGTTTTATGTCCAAGATCCTCATATAACAACTTTTTGTTCTCTTTGTTGTAATATTTGTGTAAAAAGTAAGATATATCAGATAAATAATGATAATGATTGCAGATTCAGATTTTGTGTAATGATAATTAATTAATAAATTTATAAAATTGTTTGATACTTTTCAGTTTTTATTCCCAGAAGTTGCATCATGTGTCACATTCTAATATCATGCCACATTTCATACACCATTTCACATCAGAGTCAAGAAAGCACACTATTCAAAATTCAAATTTTATTTGAAAATAACTAAAATGAAATTTCTAAAATCTAATTGTTATTTTAATAACAATTTAAAGTAATTGTACTTACTTTCCTTCTCTTAGAATAACTATTTATGTTTAAAAATTGCAGACAAAACTTAAATGACAATTATTTCTGAAGGTTACAAAAATAAATGAAAATGGCTAATCTTTAATCTGTGTAACCATGTATTAACCCACACACCAAAAAGGCATCTAAAAATTGATTTTTCAAATCTATAACTTACTTTTAACATGCTTAGCATACTACATTTTATTACCTTTCTTGGAAAAATGTTGAGAATTTAATATATCTTATTCTTGCATAATATGAGCAAAATCATCATCATTCTTATACAAATTAAATATAGAATACAAATACAGTGCATTATTTTCTTCAATAGTACATCTAACCTGAAATGCTGAACTGATGGACTGATTTGCATACGAACAGGTAACAGTGGATTATTTGCAAATTAAAACTATTCTTTAAAAATAATTAATGCCAATATTAAATATAAAAAATATATATATTTAAAATTTTAGAAAGAAATAATTCTTTCTTATATTTTAATTTTTGCACACTAATTCTTCATTTGAAATCATAATGCAATTAGCTTTCATTGTTTTGTAAGCAATGTGACAGCTCACATTCAAACATAATGTGACATGCAATGCAACTGGTGGGGATAAAACAGAAAAGTTCCAAAGGTTTAATAGTAAACTTAATTGATTTTAAACTTAAGAATTAATGAATTAATTAGTAATATTTTATTATTTCAGAATGACATGAATGAAATGGTGGATGATATTCCTGTTGCTCATATTGATTTAACTGTTCCATTACATATACCAGGTAATTTAAATGAAATGCTTTTAGACAATAAAAATATAGTAAGTAAGTAACTTATAGTTATAAATGTAATCAATACATTTGTTTTTAATTTACTAGATATAAAAACAAATTCATAATAAAATTAAGTTTTCTAAATAAGCAAGAGAATTAAGGAGAATTAAAAAAAAAAATTTGTTTAATTGGTTTTATTCTGAGCCTGCTAAATGTCAGTTATAATTAAAGAGAGAAAATATATGTTTTTTCATGTAAATAATGTATTTTTTAATGAGAAAATAATTATTTATTAGCAATATTTAATTTGTTGTTTTGATAATGTTATAAGAAACAAGTAATGCTGTTATAATCATGTCTGGTTTGCTAATTATTTTTATATAATATATGTATCACTGAAAATTAAATATTCTGAAATTATGTAATTTAAAGTAATGTATACAAAGTTTCGTAATTTGTATAAAAGTACAATTAGTTATTCTTACCTAAACATTTAGTAGTAGTATTATATAATGTGAGCTTTCTGATTGCATATTGACATAAAGTGCATATTGACCTAAAGACAAGCATTGATTTATTTTTATAAATAAAGACATTTCAAACAGTTCTTACTCTTAATCTTTTGTTTTCTTAAACTGTATTGCAGGATTAATTTCTTCTGATAAATATTTAAATACACATAATATTAAAACAAAGAATACACAAAGGAAAAATAAAAAGAAAAAAAGAAAAACCAAAAAAGGAAAACATGTCTTAACTGATAGTGAAGATGATATTTCTGCTGTTCATGAGGTGACAATATTAAAAGAAGAAATGCCTGATGGTGCTAGATTAACTGATGATGAAGATGATGATGATAGAAATCCAGATGATCCTCATAAAGCTTTAGACATCAACCTTGATGAGTATGTTTTTTCATTTTATGTAAATATGTAATTCTTCATTGTTGTTTTTTTATAATTTTATAATTCTGAACAGGTAATTTTTTATTTGTTGTTAATTAGTAATAGTAATGGAAACAAAAATTTTTAGAACATTTCATATATATGAAATTGTAAACATACTTTCAATTTTATAAATGTTTAATGTTTTAATAATATATATAAAAAATTAAAAAACGATAAGCATATTAAAAATATCTTAAAGAATAGAATATTTTGTTTTTTAAGAAATTTTTAATATGATATCAAATGTAATGTTTTGAGTGATTTGTCATTTATTTCAAGTAGATTATTATAAAATTTTATATTTTTTAACTTTTACAGGGTTGGACAAAATGTATAGCCAGGATATAAATGAGGAAGTAAAACATAATCACTGGATGAATGTGTTTCAAAATAACATCAGTACATACCCAAAGATATGCCATTTGCATACTGTGACTTTCAAAAGTCATTTCCTGAATATTGACTGTGTACTGATATTATTTTGAAATATATTTATCCAGTGGTTACATTTTTGCTGCCTCATTTATATCTGGCTATACATTTTGCCCAATTCTAATAAAATTTTTCTTAACATAACTTAATACAGAACTGATTGAAAAAATTGATAATCTATATATATAAAAATGAATGTGTGTCTGTGTGTCTGTCTTATGTCCTTCATGCATTACCACACTGTTTATCTGATTGCCATGAAACTTTGGGAAGTTGTTTAATATACTCTTGCGCAGGTTTGTGGCATAGTACGATTGCCATAAAACTTAGGAAAGTTTTTTAATACACTCCCGCGAAGGTTTCTTGCATAGTACATTTAATCCACGATAGATGGCGCGCGTTTATACGAGTGTATTGAGACAGTGTGTTCGATCGATTTCAAATTGTGAAGACCATTTCCCCCTATTTCAAAAAATATCTCTATATATGCATTTGTGAACTGTTATTTACGATATTTGTAATAATTTTTGTTTAATCACTTTATTTTAACTTTTTTTGCTAATTATGTATTCGCTCGAACTTTGTTAAAACCTTAACTGTATCCCGAACAACAACCGAAGTTGTAGGAGGAAATTCGCCTATTTTACCGATCTAGGAATCCCCCTTTTCCAAATTTTAATATCGACTCAAAATAATTTAAAAAGACAAATTACAATAAAACGGTTTATTATCCAACTATCAGAAATTTCACAACATGCCAAGGAAGAGAGGAAGGAGCAATTAAATAATTAAAATTGTAAAGGATTAAAAATATATATATATAAATGGGGAATATCGCGCTTCTGACAATCGCTGCGAGTGTGTGGGTTAAATTTGGAGAATGCGTGTTTCTCGCGTGGACAACTGTATGTGACCAGCTAACGCGTCGGAAAACCTTCTGATTTATTCGTGTACACACCAGACGGAAAAACAAAAAATATCGTGTATCCACAAGCACTCCAATAAATAAATAGAATTGAAACGACACTTTGAAATGTTTTACCGATGAAAATGAATAATAATAATAAGTTTCAATAAAAATAATAAAATGTAAATTGAATTTTATCATAACGAGTTTGCTTGAATTTCCTTTCTTCTGAGATCGCAGCAATGTGCAACGGGTAAGCTAGTAAAGTATAAAATAATGCTATATTTATTACATAGTTTTATATGATGGATATATTGTACTTATAGATCCTAATAATTTAGGAATGTTTCATAGCATACAAAATTTATTCTTGATTAAACATTATGAGATACTATTAATATTATTAGCTTCTGACTATGAATAAACTAAATTGCATTTCTACAGAAACTTCATTTAACTATTTTATACTTATTTAGACCTCTTCGAGATGATGAACAACTACCTGTACGAACACACCATATTGTAATGCCTAATAAAGTTGAAGAGAAGAATGAAAAGAATAAAATTAAAAAAAAGAAAGAAAGGGAATCTGGGAAACAACATAAAGTTGGAAAGGTATAAAATTTTGTTCTCTTGAACTAAATTATATTTATTTTAATTATAGAAAAAATTAAACCAGTACTATTTTAATTACTATTATTTTATAGCTTGACATCATGCATATTATAATTATAAATAATTTATATAAAAGTTAAATCTATTTAGGATTACAGTGTACTGTACAATTTGAATTGTTTCAAAAGGAGATAGAACATTTGTAATATTAATTATAATGTTTTAATGTTAAGATCTGTCAAAAATAAAAATAAAAATGACAATTTTCAGCTTTTTAAGAATTCATAATGTATGTTTGAATAAAAATTATATAATTACTTTAATTGTATGTTTTATTTATCAGAAAGAAAAAATGAAAAAGAATAAAAACATTGAACAAAATAAAACTGAAGATATAGAAAATATAAAAGTAATAGAAATATCAGAACAAAATGGTAGAATTGAGGATCAGTTGATTGAAGAAAATAGTGTTGCAGCTAAAAATAAAAAGAATGAGGTAAATAATATGAGCATGTTATATATAACATATTTGCCAGTTTTTTCATATAACATTTTATACTTAGAATGTCTGTAGAATGATTTTAATAGTTTTGACTATCAAAGTTTTGAAGAGAACAATCTTCTTTCTGTTTGTTCGTGCTTGTCATTTCAGATTATATAATACTATAGGTGTTGAATTCAACTAAAATTTAGACTGTATCTGCTAGTTAAAATGTTTTCAAAAAGATTATAATATAATTTTGCTTTGAAATGAAAGTATATATTCAAAATAGCTTTAGGGGTGAATGAATAAATTGTGTTCATTTTTTAGCATTTCATTCCAAATAAAAGTTACAGATGACATTTTCAAATTTATCTATAGAACTTTAAAGTAACTTTTAAACATGTTTTTACCCACTTTTAATTTTAAACTGATAGCACAATCTTACAATCAATGGTGTCTTAGAATCAAAGAAATAGGAGCATTTTGCAAATCATACTTTTTCATGTTCAAAGATTTGATTTCATTGTAGATGTAACATGGAAACAAGTAAAACGGCAAAAACGTATTTGGGACAAGACTATGTCTTGGAGACTCGCTACTAAGCGATGTATTTTCAATGAAATTAACCTATCAAATTTCAAAATTTCTCTCCATTGCGTGTCTGCCCGGGTTGAATTTTTGTCTATGCGTAACGAAAATTTCCTGTTTTTGAAAAAAAATAATCGTGGCTATTGTATCATCTGAAATTATTTTTTTATTTTGCACAAACAATATACAATTTAACCCGATTATAACGTCATCGGATGTAATGACAACCCTAATATAATGTCAAATTTTTATCGGTCCCACGGTTTTACTATACTAGATAATGTTAAATAACCTACTTTTAACGACATAAAACCCTGTTTTAATGTCATATTTGAAGCACTCCCAAATTTACAAAATTAGATTACAAATTTTATTTAACATAAAATAAACTATGTGTTCAGTCCTAAGGTCTGACTTCACTTCTTACAATGACTGTGGATGGTACTCTCCCCCACCTGACTTTGTTGGGATGAGATGCTTGTTTGTATAAGAGGGTCACCATTTAGTATTTTATTTTGACTCAGTTCTCGGTCCCCTGACTACCTACAAGTCTGGATTTTTTTATGCGCAAATGATTTGGGCACCTAATTCTCTGTGCCAAATATCAAGTCTTGGCATGTACTCCTTCATACCTCTAAGCTGGTAACATAAACCAGCAGTGTGATTTTATAATGAGTTATTCACTTCTTCTCATTTTATTATATTTTTTCTAGTTCCTTTATCATCATAATTTCAAGTTTTTTGCATTAACATTTAGCTATTTTTCCTTTAATTTATCTGCTTATTTACTGTATTTTATATAGACTTTTATTGTTTCTACTTTGTCTTAACATAGCATGACATTTTCAGTTTTTATGCCAGTAAAATCATAACAATCAATCAAGGATTTTAATCAAATGTAATTAAATAAATTGTATTTTCAGAAAAACAAAAAGAAAAAGTGGGAGAAAGAAAAACAGAAAGAAAAGAAGTCAAAAAAAGAAAAGAAAAAGCGACAAAGAACTCACCATGGTAATACCTTATTACAAGAGGATCAACCAAAAGATAAAACAGAATATGAAGAAGCTCCAGGAATAGCAACACCATCCAAAGAACCTGGAACTAGCATTTCACAGACTCCTCTTACGCCTTCTATGCCTGTAAGTTACTGATGAAATGTATTAAAATTAAAATCTTAAAATTTCATAAAATCTAATAAATTATATAATATAATCATTATCTTACATAATAATACAAATTAAAAGCTCTTTCTTTTCAAATTGTATTAGTATATATTATTTAAAACAAATCAATTTAGAAAAATTTTGAATTCTTAATTAACTAGATACATTAACAAAATATAGATTTAAAAATATATATTTAGGATTAATTATCATATATTAAATTAAGAAAATAATTTTATTTTGTTTAGAATTAAATTTTTATTTAAAATTTAATATAGTAGAAGTTTGTTAATTCAGCATCTGTGGAACCAGAGTAGTGTCAGATTACCAAACTTTTTGTATTTTTGCAAAATTTGATAAGTTGTATGCAATATGAATGTTGCAGACATTATTGTTCATTTTATATCAGTGCATGCAGCTGTATATTTCTGATTTACTTTCTCAGACTTGTAATATCAGACTCTAATCAGTCTGAAAATGATACAGTACACAACTATGTTAAGATTGTTTAAAAACCTTCAGAAACATTAATGAACAGTGTGATGAAGTCTGATCCTAAAAGAGTTTACCGTCTTATTTAAAATTTATGACGTAAACATGTATTAGGCACAGGAAAGCTCCAGTGAAAACATTTAATCTGACACAAACAAGGTTCTGTAATAAAATGAGTTATTTTTCTTGATAATATCACTCATGATCTCATGGATGACCTCCTGATGTATAGAAACATAAATGATTACACTTTGCAATTTTTCTTTCAATCTTCAGGGTATTGTGTGTCCAAACAAATTCCAATTTGTGGATGGATTATTAGCTATTCTTAATGAATTTCTACTGTATTAAAAATTGTACAGATTAAAAATTGATATCATATTTATTAGAAAAAAAGAAAATGAAATTTTTAAGATGCAAAGAAATTTAAAATATTGAAATATTTCAGCTACCTTCTAATTATAAATTATTAGGAGAAGATAAAAATATTAAAATGGTAAGAATTTTATTTATTATGAAAATTAATATTTTTGTTTTTTGTTTAAAAATGTTTTAAGTTAAAATAACAATTGCTATTTTTTTAGACTTACGAGATTCGAACTCTGCAGAATGTACGAAATGAGATAGTAGTTTCTGTAATTTTTAATAATTTAAGTGATTGCCATATAAAGGAATTAGAATTTAATGTTTTAGATACATTAAATACAAAGATGGTTCGAAATGTAAGTATTGACTTGTTTAGAATAAAAATAAATTAATGAATTAAAAACTAAATAATTAAAATTTGTTTTTTAGCAAAAGCTTTTTCTTTGTAACTATAACATCATAGTGTAAATATGAAAAATTTATAAGAAATACAGATAGTACTCATAATAATAATTCTGAGTTGATAATTCATGAAAAATAATTATTCTTAAAATGTAAAATAGTTTTAGAAGTATTTTAGATCATTGTTTTAAAACAGGAAAGTCCAATCTTTTTGTTTCTCTGGGCCACATTGGAAGAAGTCATGGAGTTTTGGGCCACAAGTATATTATATATACTTGTTACACGATCTTTAAATATATAAGTATATTTAAAGATTAACATGTCTAGACTATAGTAATAAGTATTAAAACTTCATCTTGAAAAAGGATATTTAAAAAAATTAATTCTATACTTTCAATTTTTACTTAGAAATAGATAAATTCATTTATTATAAAGGAGAGAAACAAAAATTTATTTTAAAAACACAAATATTTGTTTTATTTGGGTCTCTAATTAATAAAAAAAACGTTGAAACATTATTTTAAAGTGCATTTTTATTCAACTAATATATTTATAAATAATATGTAGCCCAAAAAGTAGTCAATGTGCCAAATTATATTTTTTACATCAAACTAAAAAAACTAAAAACTGCAATGCTGGAAGAAATACTAAATAAAGCTGGAGTTGGGACTCAAAGGATTATAGACCCAAATGCAGGGAAAGGAGAGAAAGGACAAAAGATAAAGAAGTGAAGAAGGTTGGAAAATTAAGGGTAAATATTTGCATAATAGAAGATCTATTTAACCTTTCTCACTACTTTTTATTTTTTGGCCTTTCTTTCCTTTCCCAGAATTTGGATCTATAATCCTTTGAGTCACAACTTCAGCTTTATTTAGTATTCCTCCCTCATTCACACATTTCCAAGTTCAGTAGAGCATCAGTTATCCGACTGAATTGGGGACTCAGGTTGGTCAGATAACTGAAAAAATCAGATAACCGAAAAGAATGAAAAAAATACATTATTAGTATAGTATATTAGTATATCCCATGTAATTAGTATATTAGTATATCACTATTAATTAACTTTGCGTTGAATTTTCATTGATGTTAAACCTAACAAATTTTTTAAAAATAATAATTGTCACTATTGTATCGTTAAAAATTGTTTTTAAGTTATTTTATTGCTCACAAAACAAACAACCACTCATAATTAGAAAATTAAGTTTCATTTAAATACTGGTCTCCCTTCAATGGTCGAGCCAGTGTTGCCAGCTAAAACACGCAAAAATTTAACAAAAATAATATTAAAGTAGCCAAGACATAGCCAAATATTGTAGTGCCACATCACTCGCAGACATTTGAATTTTGTTGACTAGAACGGTCGGTTAACCGATGTGATGGTTAATCGGGGATCAGATAATCGATGCTCTACTGTATTTGAAAATATTAGCTTTCCACTCAAAAATAAAATATGTATAAAGGTTTACGGCTTTGTGAAACTTCTTTTTTGAGTTTGTCATAGAAATAAATAAATAAAAAAAATTTGTCGGTTTTGTTTACATGTTTATTGGGCCGCATGCAGTCCGCGGGCTACAGGTTGGACACCTGTTTTAAAATATACTGTACATGTTTGCATACTGTATATTTATTAAAAGAAAATGCTAAAATGATTATTCTCAAACAGGAGTAAAATGATAAATCAAAAATCATATAACTTTAAAATTACTGTAATGTAAATTTCATTAGATCATTTTACATGATTTTATTAATGATTTAAAACAGGGGTATCCAACCCGCGGGCCGCATGCGGCCCAAGGCAAGTTACAATGTGGCCCAATAAACGTGTAAACAAAACCGACAAATTTTAAATTTAATTTAATTTATTTATTTCAACGGCATAAACTCAAAAAAGAAGTTTCACAAAGCCGTAAATCTTTATATGTATTTTACTTTTGAGTCGAAAGGAAATATTTTCAAATACTTGGAAATGTGTGAATGAGGAAAGAATACTAAATAAATCTAAAGTTGAGACTCGAAGAATTATAGTCCCAAATTCGAGGAAAGGAGAGAAAGGCCAAAAGATAAAACGTAGTGAGAAAGATTAAATAGACTTTCTGTTATGCAAATATGGACCCTTAATTTTCCAACTTTCCTCACTTCTTTATCTTTTGTCCTTTCTCTCCCTTCCCCGCATTTGGGTCTATAATCCTTTGAGTCCAACTCCGGCTTTATTTAGTATTTATTCCAGGTTTGCATGATTTGGCTACTTTGCGCCAAAGTTGGCTACCCGTTTTTTAGTTTGCCGTAAAAAATATCATTTGGCGCATTGGCTATTTTTTGGGCTACATCTTATTTATAAATATATTAGTCGAATAAAAATGCATTTTAAAATGGTGTTTTGTCAATTTTTATTAATTAGAGACCCAAATATTTGTGTTTTTCAAATACATTTTTGTTCGTCTCCTTTATAATAAATGAATTTATCCATTTCTAAGTAAAAATTAGAAGTGTCTGTAGAAGTAATTTTTTAATATATCCTTTTTTGTGATAAAGATTTAATACTTATTACTATAATCTAGATATGTTAATTCTTAAATATACAAGTATATTTAAGGATTGGGCCACAAGTATATATAATACACTTGTGGCCCAAAACTCCATGACATTTTCCAATGTGGCCCAGAGAAACAAAAAGGTTGGACACCCCTGATTTAAAATTAGGACATCTCAACAATAAAAATCATATAAGTTACAATTTTTATAACTTTTTATATGATTTTTAGTGCTTAGATATCCTAACACTAGGGATTATAAGTATAGTAGTAGTATACTTTTTAAATTATTTTAATTTAAATATATTTTAAGTTATATTTTTATTTTGCTAAAGATGACTTTTGTTTTCATGAACTGAAAATGTTAGTATTTTATATGTTATTTATCAGCTTGAAGTAAAGCATTTTTCATTAAAACTCTAATATACGGTGCCAAGTTTTAAAGATTTTCATGATATAAATTATTTAGTAGAAAATGGCTTTAATAATTTAATTCATAAATTTAAACAGATTGATGGAGGAAATCAAGATGGTATTAAAGTTCCATTTCAGTTGCCACCTGGAACTATGAATGAAGGACAATTTATATTTAATGTAGATAGCATCATTATGTCACAAAAATTACGTGGAACTTTTACTTATATGATAGTGGTGAGTATATTGGTATTTTGTAAAAATGATGCATTCATTTTTATTTTACAATTTATTTTTGTAAATTATTTAAAATAATGAAATATAAAATATAGTTTAGTTGTGTAATGTTGTTATCCTTAAATGTTTTAAAATTTTACATGTTTTTTTTAATCTATTTAGTTTGATGAGATTAGAATGATTCATTTGTTTTTACATTATCATAACTTCATATTTTTATGAAATACTTAAATTATATCATTTCATAAGCTAACTGGATTCTTTCTGAATTATGAATCATTTAATTTGACTATTCTTATTTATTTATTTATTTATTTTTTTGAGTAAAAAATATATTAAACCATTAAAATTGCAAAATCAATTTTTTTTTTATATTAATTTTATTAAAATATAAAGTTCATAGTTATTTTTTTATTTATATATGTAATTTTAAATTTATATTTATTAAATTAGAACTAATAAATATTTTAAAGTGAATTTTAATTTATAATATACAGAATGCATTATAGAGAAATGAAAATATATGATAATAGTATTGCTTTCTTAGAAGCAATAATGCCACATATTGATTCATAAGCATGTTTTAAGATTAAATCTACTTGTTTATGTAGAGGATACATGTTAGCTGCTATAAAATGTTTATAATAGATACAAAATAAGCATACTTAAGATGATTTTAACTGATTTGTCATATTTATGTTTTTCTAAAAAAATTATAAATTAACATTTTATATGAAGTTTAAATATCAAAATTAAATTAACTTTAATGCAATTACTAAACAGTGTTCTTATTGTAAATTATTTATTTTTAAGTTTAAGCATTTAAATATTGGATATAATATACAGGGGGGTGCAAAAATACAAATGTTTGGTGTTCGTTATTATTATTTTTATTATCTTTTATTAGTTTGTATTCCTTATTTGTGATTTAATCTGAATATATAAAATTACTTGTCCTGACTGAGTCACTGATTCATCATCGCCCAGAGCAAACCACTGAACCTAAACAGGTGAAATTTGGTACACAGTAAGGGTACATCATGAAAACGCACACTAAGAAGGGATTTTTGAAATTCTCCCGCGGGGGGAGAGGGAGAGCATTAAGGCTTAACCGGAAGAACAGCTTCTACTGCACTATTTTTAGATGCAATTTTTGTTTTCAACTACGTTTCTAAGTAACTAGTATTCATTGGGTACGTAGGTGTATTAAATTGATAACATTTCAGACATTGGTATAAATATTTTTATATATTTCAATTTTTTAACCAAATGTTCAAATTATTTTAAATTCTAATTTGTTATTGCATATTGGTTCAATTATAGAATGATTGTAAACATTCCAGAAAATTGATCAAATTGAAAATAGTTTGTTTGATTCTCAGCAATTCTCATCATTCTCAGCGGTAGGTGTTATATAACAATTACTATGGCTGTTGAAATACTGAATATAAATGGGGTTAGCTTGCAAAATCTTTGCGGGCGAAGTCGCATGTAACAGCTAGTTTGTACATAAAAATAAATGTTTTTTTCTCCCTGTATGTTTTTTAGCATGCTCCACTATAGTAGTGAAGTGCTTATGGTAGGACTTTTCTGTGTCTCTCAGATGATGTGTTCCATTAATCCATTTATTGTGCATGTCCACACACATGTGCAAAAGGGAACTGAACATTTTCATTTACAGTCACTGTAAGCTATAGTAAAAACTACCCAGATCCTCTGGAATCTATAAACCATATCCCTTACTGTATATTCAGTGAAAAATTCTTCTGAACAACTACTTGATTCCAAGAATTCATAAAAATTTATTTTAAACAAAATTAATATTAGATTCGCTTTTGTGGAGCATGCTATCAGATTGGTTTGACTAAGCTTGTTTTCAAAACAACAACTGTATACCTACTTTTGCATCCCCTCTGTATAATTATTACATATTGAATAATGTTGAATATGTAAATTAAATGTTATATAAATCAAAAATATTAAGCAGTAATTAATAATTTAAAAACTAATAATTTGAACAAAAAGTCATCCAAAAAATTTTTTTCTGAAAAATTAAACATTAATGCAATAATAGTTATTCTTATTTACATGGCATATAAATGAAAAACAAATGTTAGTAAATTATAACAAACAAGTAGCATTTTAATTTTATTTGATAGGTATTAAAAATTTTTTCAGAGAAAAATTTCAAAATTACATATGTATGCTACCATGTAATAAAGACTCCTCTGAATAATGAGATTATAGAAATGATTATGATTATCTATTGACACATTGTTATTGTTGGCACATGTTTCTTGAGAGGTTGAAAATTAAGTTATAAGATAGAAAAATTTTTTATATTCGTATAAGTGCAAGTATTGTATAAGATATGTTATGATAGTAGTTAAGGAACTATGTAATCTGTGTCCAACTCATTTTCTTACTGACATAAATTCTTGATGAATATAGAATACATTGTTAATTTGATGAAATATATAGATTGTATATAATGACATATAATCTATATATTTCCTTCTGTAGTGTTATCTTTTCTATTTCTAAGAATGTTTTGTCTCAGTGGATATTCAGTATATATTCATAGTAGGAATAATTTTTATGACAATCAAAGCAATTACTCATATCATATATATAATGCTGTTTGTGAATAAGATGTTTATCCTTGCACAATTTTAAATTTAAAAATTTTTGTCTTTAAATGTTACTTAATTATTAAAATAATTAAAAACTTATAAAATGAAAAGATTTTTAGCTTTATTTTTATCTTGTTCTAAAATCATATGTTGAAAATTATTTTAATAATTTCAAACCTAAATAAGTTTAAGTTGAAATTGATAAGAACACTTAATTGAGAATCAATAAATTTTTGTTAGAATTTTATAAAATTTAGTGTGTTTAGATTTTTTTCTATTTATATTTGGCGATATTTGTTTTATTTTGTTCACTTAATTTAGAATTTATTTTATACATAATTACATATCTTATGGTTATGAGAAAAACAAACTAATATGATTAAATTTATTATAATTGAAGACTGAAATAGGATCAACTCATGAAAAATTAGAATTTAAATTACATCTTCCTGTGTCATCATATTTAATTGGGACAACGTATAAAAGGTTAGTAAATTTTATTTATTATGTATTGAAATAAAATGTGAATTTATTTAACAAAGTAGAATTATTTTTTTATAAGAGAATAAAAACTAAAACATAGTTACACTTAAAGTGAAATAAGATGTAACACATAAACATCTTATTTCACTTAAATGCTATAAATAAAAACAAGTAAAAATGTTCTGAAATATTCGGAACTCTTTTACTATTCACAATAAATAAGACAATATTTAGATGTTTATGTAACTTTTTTGGTTTTTACTTTATTACAATGTGTTATGAAATAAAGATTATGATAGTCTAGGAAGTTGATGATGATTCTTTACTACTAATTGTTTTTTAACTTCAGAAAATTCTTAATTTTGCTGAAAGGAAAACTTGAAATTGATAAGGGCATCAACAAACCTCTAAGAATGTTTCATTATATCATTATTTGAATTATCTGTTATAAAATTATTATTATTTAAATTATTTCTGACATAATTTAGAAATTCTTCCACAAAGATTAGTAAATTAAATTTTTTAAATAAAAAAAAAGAAATCACTGATATGAATTTAAAAAAAATTAAAACACATTTAAAATTACAAAATTTAAAAACACAAAATTAAAACATATTTAGTGATAGGTGATACTTCTTTATTATTGATATAATTTATCATGTTAGATTGCATATTCCTTATTAAGATATACAGGATTCAAAGAAAAATCAGTTCATCCCAATAACTTTAAACCATCTGTTATAGTGCAATGGAAGTAATTGGCACCTGTAGGAGAGTGACCATATGCAGTCCATTGAATGCAACTTCAGTATTTTTTCAGCAGGGGCACTAAAGTAAAGAAAACTAACTTGGTAACTAACAGAGATAGGCAAAAAAAAGTCCAATTACAAAAAGAAATAGCTTTGCTCACTTAGTACAAAATGATATCTTGTTCAGCAGAAACACTTACAGGAAAGAGCAGAAAATACTAAGAAATTTAATAACATTTATGCACAAAACAACACAGATGTAATGCAAAGTTTGTGCATCACAGGTGCAACTAACTTGCCAAATACACAGTGTTCAAAGTGTACACCATCAATGTCAATACACTTATGGATTTTGGATAGAACTTCATCTAGAACAGTATGCAGCATTGTAAGGGTTACAGAATTACAGATGCTGATGATGCATTTTTTTAGATCTACTATGGTAGAAGATTCTATAGTGCTCTCTTCATTTTTCAGGTATCCCTGAAAGAAGTCCATTGGTATTAAGTCAGGTGACTATAGTGGCCATACCATACAACTACCATATTTAATAACTCTGTTGCTAAATGGCATAAAATCTGATTTCTGACAATGTTTTCTTAGTGTTTACTGTTATTTTCTGCTGAATCAAATATCATTTTGTTTCTGCTGAATCAAGTATCATTTTGTAATTGGACTTTTTTGCCTACCCTGTTAGTTTCTGAGTTAGTTTTTATCTTTAGTTCTGTATTTCAACAGTCATGCTAAAATCACATTCAATAAAAATTATGCATGGTCACTATCATTCAGGTGCCAATTACTTCTGTGGTGCTACAACAAGTGGTTTAAAAGTTAAAGGTGGTCTATGGACTTTCCTTTGAACCCTGTATAATAAATTTTAGGCTAATAAATAATAATAAAATGTTTATTATTATTTATCAAAGATTGATTACAAGATATAAAGTTTAGTTTTAGTCAGATTTGTAATATGTTTTTTTTAACTACAGAAAGTAATAATTTTACAAATTTCAGTATTTATTATAGGAAATAATTTAAACTTGACATTATAAAAGGTACAGCATTTTCTATTAAACCATAAACATCTTATGCCTGCTAGATTGTGTATTTGCTTTTTGATTATCTAATTTGTTATGTTAGAATAAAGTTGAATCTTAACTGTACATGAATCACTTCATTTTAACTTTCAATATAGTTTTTAAAAACAATAATGATGCGATATTAAAACTATATTGAAGGAACAAAAAAATTTGTTACAATCACCAGACATAAAAATAAATCAGTTTTTACTCAGAGATGGCCAATGACATTGTTGCTTGTAGATGTTTTTAACTGTTTTACATATTTTATGAGGTATAGCCTCTAATAAAAAGTTATCTCTGAATGAAAACTGTTTTTTTCCCTGCTGATGATTGTGAGTGATGAACTTATGAAGACAATTTTTGTTTCTTCAATATGGTTTTATTATGTAAATAAATATTGTTGGCCATTTTTAATCAATGATGATTTACTTTGATGGTCTGAGTTATATAAACAACAGACATTATTAGGTAGGGTTAAATTTTTCACATCGATATTAATTTTTTAAATTGAATTTAATGTCTTCAGAATTTTTATAATGATAATCTATATTCATATCAAATATTCATAACTTGTAATATAAAAATAAATACATAAAGTAATGTAAAATTGTTTATATTTTCAGGGACACTTTTGCAGAACTTTTAAGTAGTGCAGAATTAACAGTTAAATCTTCATTTCAGTTAGAATCTGTTGGTGATTTAGAATTTTCACACATTCTCTCCAAAATATGTTTTTATTGCCATTTTACAGGTATGTAAAAATTCTGATATTGTATAAGTTTTATGATTATTAATTATTTTTCATATCAAAAAAGTTAACTGTTCACAAAGCATTTATAACAGTTTAATAATAATAGTTGCATGCTTTCTATGAATGAAACATTTTTTTATATTCTAAACAGTTCTACAATGCTGATTTTACTTTTCCTGCTGTTATATATAGCAGAGGGAAAGTATGGCACAGTCAAAAATAACTGCCCAAGATTTTTTATTTTTGGACTCAGGACCTTGAAATGTCAAGAAATGCAAAAAAAAATTGGGGATTTTTTTTCCTGTATGCATGGATGTTCGTGTCTGGGGGCACAATTTCTGTTCACCCACTTTGAAGCTTAATAACTCCTGTGATTTTTATTCAAAATTTCTGAAATTACAGAGAGGTTTGTGTATTAGGAAATTGATGCTATAAAATTTTGGTGGTTGAAGATCAAGGAAGTGGGGAGATAGAGGGGAGTTGTCTTGAGTGGTGTTGGACTTAAGGAAGATTTTACTTGTTATTAGCATTTACAATTTTTTTTATAAAACTCATCTCTACCCTGGAAATAAGGTTTTTACCATTTTATAATAATTAACAATATAAAGAGTTTTTAAAATAAAATCTTGTAACAGATGCAAGTTTAAATGTTGCTGGAAAAGTTAGTCAACTCAATGCTGGATTTTTTTATAATAGACTTTTTAAAAAATGTTAAAGCTTTATTTAAAATGACAGTTCTTTTAATGATAAATTATGTGAAAAAAAATTAGAATATCTTTTATATATACCATATTTCTTGGATTGTAAGACATAGCAATCATTTGAAACTGAATTTTAAGATCTTTTTAGAGAGAAAAATTTTGAATATAAGCAGTTTTATTAGTTTTATTCAATAACAAGAAGTTAGAAAGACTACAAATGCCATGAAATAGATAACATTCAGTTGCTATATTTTCATGTACATACAATAACTTTTTGTTTTAATGATGTATTATAATGTCATCTTGAAGCATTTTTAATGTTAAGGTGTATAAATTACAGATTCACCATCAACAATGCTCATTTGAACTAATGTGACTGTTGAGCAGTACAGTAAAAGTCATTATTGATGCTTAAATCACCCCGTAATCTACTCGTAATAGCAACTTCTTGTTGTTTTGACTACAAATGTAAGATATCATCAATTGTAAGACTCGTATCTATTTCAGACAAGTAAAAATGGATTATATAAAAAACTCTTAGAATCAAGGAAATGCAGTATATTGAACAGCAGGATTGTATAAAAATATGAATGAATAGTATTAAGTTTCTCCGTTGGATATTAGTAATACGAAGTTATATATAAATAATAATGAATGAAAAATTTGAACTCTAGTTTTAGTTTTATAGTTTCTCTAGTTTTCTATTTTTTCTAGTTTTTAATTATTTATAAAATATTTTCTATTATTTTTTTAACTTGATACTAGATTTTTGGCATTAGGAGTAATTATCTTGAAACAAACATTTGGTGTACTTAATAAAGTTGCAAACATTAGAAAGATATTCATGGTCCATACATACCTGGAAAGTCAGGGAATCACAGATTAAATTACCTGTACGGACCCTGGATATTACAACATAATTAATTTTGCTGAAGGAGTACTTGTTTGTTCTTTTCACTGTAATGATGATTTGCAATTTGCAACTTTTTAATGATCGTATTTAGTGGCTGACACACACAATATTGTTTAACATTCATATATTGTTCTGAATGTTAAGCAATATTAATATTCAGACAAATAGTTCAATATTGCTTATACAGCTCATTTTGTCCTGGTTATAGTGATTTGTCATTAAATGGAAAAAATATTTTAATTACATTATTTACAAAATAGCATTTACTATGGAGGTAAATTGCTAAATTGGAAATACATTTCTTAGATGTAAAATTTCTTAATATATTAAAAGAACAAAGTACATAAATTATATTCCATGTACTCATATATTTAAATATATGAAGATTATTCTGAATTTGATTTAATATTAGATTTTTAAGCAAGAAAGTCATATAAATGGGCAATTTTAAGTAGGCATTAATGTGTACACAGTATATATGTTTTATGATGATTCTTAAAAAGTACATTATATAAAATTCTATCTATAGTGCATTATATTTATTAAAAAAAAATGTTCCTACAGTTTTTAACAATTTAGATATTTACAAATTGAATGAAACTTATGTTGAAATAAATTTAACTTCTGTTATAATGAGTAATGATTTAATTATTTATATATTTACAGTGGTGGAGCAAGTTGGACTTAGTGCCTCTCTTTATAGTCGCTCAATCCAAGATGATCATATATGTTTACTAGTCAAACATTTGGTAAGTTAGTTAATAGTTAATTAGTTAAAATTTTATTTAAATTTTACTAATTTGTTGTTTTTAACAGAATCCTAACAGGTTGAGTGTGGATGGAAAAAGTACAAATGACCAATTACTGTCCAGTCTATTAGATGAAATTAAACAGATTTTAAGTCCACAGAATTCAATTTCAACATAATTATAAAGAAAATTTAATATTTTATGCAAAAAAATTAACTTGAAAGTTTTGGATTGACTCCAGACACATTCCAGTAAAATATGAAGAATGGATTGCACAGTTAAAGATTAGGAATATTTTGTTAAATTATGCAATATTTTGTCAGCATTCTAAAAGAAATCGTAAGTTTAACTTAAATTCCTAATCAGTTAAAAATATTTACAATTATAAATGGATTATATTATTCCTTTAAGAAATAATATTGAATATGTTGGACATTTATTCTTAATTTATAAAAATTAAGGGAATTTTATTTAAAAATTTCTGTATAAAGTAATTTCTGATCTTTTTTAAAAAAAAAATAAGGAAAATAGTTGTACTTCACATTTCTAATAACATTGTATAAAATTAAATCTCATATTGAAAGTACTTTGATAAAATGTACATTTGAAAATTGATAAATGATATAAAAAATATCTATTTCAGATAAGAAAGGTAAATTATACTGTAAACTTTATTTTTATAAAATTTATCATCAAATTAGATTTAAATCATCTGGAACAATTTTAATACTTATTTCATTGATTCATCTTATAATTGTTTGAATTATTATGTTATAACAATCAAGTAGTATACATTAATAGAGAATGAAAGAAAAATAATAATATAAACTCTTTGCAGTTTTGTCAAAACAAATTATTTGGTGTCAGATATGTGCCTCATATTATTCACATTGTTTATTGATTATTGGCTAATAATTCCTTCCATTAAAAAGGAGAATTGATGTTAACAAGAGAAGGTCTTGCTTGGAAATGAATAGTTGAAGTATATAAATAACTATTCTTGTTGATAATGTTTGTAAATATTTATCAGAATGATGGAAATAAACCAAATTGATAAAATTTTGTTTATGAATACTTATACTTTAATTAAAAATAATGATTGACTAGAAAATCACTTAATACGTACAGTAGTTAAAATTTCTTATTTATAAATATACAAACTAGAGCAGCAAGTAAATATTTTTATATGTAAATATACGGTAATATATTTAATTTGGTATACTGGTTGCATGTTTGTATTATGTGTATGTATGTACACATATTTTTACAAACATAAAACACACCATAAAAAACAAAACAGAAGAAAAATAGATGATGTAGTCTTTTAACAATTCAAGTTATAAAATTTGTATCTTAAAGAGATTTTTAAGAATTGTAAATCAAAATGACTTCAGTAAGATTCAATCTAATTAGAATAAATGCAAAATTTTTTAATATCTTTATTCTAAGTTATCAAATCAACCTTTACGGGGCTGCAGAGAGCTTGTATGGGGGCTCGAGATAGAGTAGGACCCAGTTTTTTGAACAAATGAAATACATACAATGTTTTTTTTATTAAATAATATACTGTATTGATACAAGGGTTTAAGTTTACATGTCATACAGCAAAAACTGCTGCTTGTGTAGTAGTTTATGGTCAAAAACAACATGACATCATCCATGGCTCAGCTGTTGATGTTCAACTACTTCAGAATTTCAGTAATAATGATGGAATTGTGTATGTTACATAGTTCCAGTTTGTTTTTCCCCTAAGTACCTTTCCATATATTGACACTTCTCCCATAATTTTTGCAATGATGGTATGCCTGCTGAATTAGAAGTATTTTGACTGGTTTCAGAACATGACACTGCAGTGGGGGTTAATTTTTCCTAACCAATGGACTTGGTTAGGAAAAATCTGGATCATCCAGCCTACAGTCCAGATCCATCACTACTCAATTATTGCCTGTTTGGTCCTTTATAGGAAGTCTTGTGAGACAAGAATCACTGCATGAAAAAATTTGTAACTTTGTAGTTTGTTATGCAGTGGCTCTTCAGTTAATTAAAATACTTCTATTCCTCAAGCAAGCTATTGTTGCCAAAACGATGAGAGAAGTATCAGTGTATAGAGGGAGGTACTTAGAGAAAAAAACATAACACACACTTCATTCATTATCTGTAAACTGGATAGAAGTTGAATCACCCTTAATGTTGTAAATATATTAGTAAAAATAACATTAATTTTGTCAGGATCCAAAGTGGTTCCTATCCATAAGTTCTGGATGATTTTCTGATCATATTACAATACAGAAAACTAGTAGTAGTAAAAAAACTAATCTTTGTTCTCTGTAAAACTACTAATTATTTTTTTAATTTGATATGATAACAATGAAAAAAGATCTGCCAGAAAATAAGAAATTTTTTCTAGTCAAAGTGAAAGGGATTTTAAAATATTGATTTATTTTTTTTTCTGTCCTGTACTTATTGCTACAATGTTTTAATTAACACACACCTAAGAAGTCAACGTGTCAGCACTTAAAGAAAACACACTGTGGCAGTATTCTACAATACATTTGGGTGGTGGTAAGCGCCGAAACATCACGTTCTGCATAAGAAGTAGCATTACCTGAATGTCTTTGTGTATTGTGTGTAGGTGTGCTGAAATCTTTATCATAAATTTTCGTAAATTAGTTACATTTTCGGCTTTGAGGTTTGCTCCAGGATATTTTCTTTGTATAAAAATTAAGCTATTCTTGGAATTGCTTTTATTCACAATTTGTATTCGAAAATGAATAGCNTATGTAATTTTAAATTTATATTTATTAAATTAGAACTAATAAATATTTTAAAGTGAATTTTAATTTATAATATACAGAATGCATTATAGAGAAATGAAAATATATGATAATAGTATTGCTTTCTTAGAAGCAATAATGCCACATATTGATTCATAAGCATGTTTTAAGATTAAATCTACTTGTTTATGTAGAGGATACATGTTAGCTGCTATAAAATGTTTATAATAGATACAAAATAAGCATACTTAAGATGATTTTAACTGATTTGTCATATTTATGTTTTTCTAAAAAAATTATAAATTAACATTTTATATGAAGTTTAAATATCAAAATTAAATTAACTTTAATGCAATTACTAAACAGTGTTCTTATTGTAAATTATTTATTTTTAAGTTTAAGCATTTAAATATTGGATATAATATACAGGGGGGTGCAAAAATACAAATGTTTGGTGTTCGTTATTATTATTTTTATTATCTTTTATTAGTTTGTATTCCTTATTTGTGATTTAATCTGAATATATAAAATTACTTGTCCTGACTGAGTCACTGATTCATCATCGCCCAGAGCAAACCACTGAACCTAAACAGGTGAAATTTGGTACACAGTAAGGGTACATCATGAAAACGCACACTAAGAAGGGATTTTTGAAATTCTCCCGCGGGGGGAGAGGGAGAGCATTAAGGCTTAACCGGAAGAACAGCTTCTACTGCACTATTTTTAGATGCAATTTTTGTTTTCAACTACGTTTCTAAGTAACTAGTATTCATTGGGTACGTAGGTGTATTAAATTGATAACATTTCAGACATTGGTATAAATATTTTTATATATTTCAATTTTTTAACCAAATGTTCAAATTATTTTAAATTCTAATTTGTTATTGCATATTGGTTCAATTATAGAATGATTGTAAACATTCCAGAAAATTGATCAAATTGAAAATAGTTTGTTTGATTCTCAGCAATTCTCATCATTCTCAGCGGTAGGTGTTATATAACAATTACTATGGCTGTTGAAATACTGAATATAAATGGGGTTAGCTTGCAAAATCTTTGCGGGCGAAGTCGCATGTAACAGCTAGTTTGTACATAAAAATAAATGTTTTTTTCTCCCTGTATGTTTTTTAGCATGCTCCACTATAGTAGTGAAGTGCTTATGGTAGGACTTTTCTGTGTCTCTCAGATGATGTGTTCCATTAATCCATTTATTGTGCATGTCCACACACATGTGCAAAAGGGAACTGAACATTTTCATTTACAGTCACTGTAAGCTATAGTAAAAACTACCCAGATCCTCTGGAATCTATAAACCATATCCCTTACTGTATATTCAGTGAAAAATTCTTCTGAACAACTACTTGATTCCAAGAATTCATAAAAATTTATTTTAAACAAAATTAATATTAGATTCGCTTTTGTGGAGCATGCTATCAGATTGGTTTGACTAAGCTTGTTTTCAAAACAACAACTGTATACCTACTTTTGCATCCCCTCTGTATAATTATTACATATTGAATAATGTTGAATATGTAAATTAAATGTTATATAAATCAAAAATATTAAGCAGTAATTAATAATTTAAAAACTAATAATTTGGAATTTAAATTAAAAAACAATAACGGAATTAAAATTTTATTAAATTTAGCATTAATTTACAGTAGACCCCCCATAACACCGTAGATAATTCCGTGTTATATGAATTCCATGTTGTACGAGTTACTTATATTTTACAAATACGTGTGCTGGGGNGTAAGCGCCGAAACATCACGTTCTGCATAAGAAGTAGCATTACCTGAATGTCTTTGTGTATTGTGTGTAGGTGTGCTGAAATCTTTATCATAAATTTTCGTAAATTAGTTACATTTTCGGCTTTGAGGTTTGCTCCAGGATATTTTCTTTGTATAAAAATAAGCTATTCTTGGAATTGCTTTTATTCACAATTTGTATTCGAAAATGAAAAGCAATTCGTTAAAAAGTTCTTGGTATAATCCTTAGATGAAATCGATATTTAAAATTATTTAAAAATATAAGCTTTAGTGTTTTTAGTAAATATTTTTGAAAAGAGAAGGAAAAATCTTTTGAAAATATAAAATTAATAATTGTTTTTCACTTAGAATAAATTCAATTATATAGACTTACTATAAATGAATTTTGCCCCTGTTTTACAAAAAGAAGTCTTCATCGGTTTGGCACAATAATTTACATTGTTTGGCAGGTTTGTAAATAAACGGAATTATATCGCATTAATCAAAATATTCAATTGCTTCGCATTGTTCTCAAAGCATTACTTTCTGTGTTTGACATCAGAAAATTGTAATGTATTCATAAAATAAATGTAATTTCCAATTCTAAATTTTAATCAACACGAACTCTGATTCAGATCCTTGTGATTTCTTTATGGATAAGATTTCCATTTTCATTTTATATTAACTAGTTGCATTTTGCGTTAGACGTATTGTTAAAGGAGTAATATTTAAACCGGCAAACCACAAAATATTGTAATCTCTTGAAAATTCCGATTAAAAAGTTTTAATATTCTAATCGAGTTTAAGTAAACATTATTATATACAGCATATATTAGGGGAATTGATGTTAGTAAATTTCGATGGTTAAAGGTCGAAGGGGCGTCGCGTGTCATATCTCCAGTAAAGTATTTGCAATTACAGTATTTATAAAACACATTCCTACCTTCTAGATTAGACTTTTGCCATTTTATAGTAATTAAAAAAGTAAGCTTTTTAATATCATAACAGATGGCGTCACCAAACTTTTAAATGTTGGCTGGAAAGTTAAGCAACTCGTTGCAGAACTTTTTTTAATGTCAGACGTTTTAAAAATTGCCGTTGATTAAATCACATGCCCCTTTACTGATCTGATTATCATAAAGGACTTACCCTATAAAGGTATCTTTTAGTACTCACAATGCCAGGAAGAATATGTCGTTAGTAGCTGTGTCGTTAGTTTTCTTTATCATAATTAGATTTTTTTGTTTTTTTTTACTCTTTCCGCCCTGTGGGCACTAAGAGGGCTTCTTTTTGCAAGCCCATTATAGGTTCGGCCAGGTCCACAATGGGGCCGCCGGGTGGTGAGGGATGGGACCCGACATATCCGAACGGACCACCTCCCGAGAAATTCCTGGGGATTTTTCGACCCGTTTGTATTCGAGCCCGGGTCGTCTCCAGAGCGGTAGGTTGCCACCTTGACCGCTCGGCCATACGGCTCGCCATAATTAGATATGCAAGAAGAAAATCTTATATAAATTGTAGACTAATTAGAGAAATCAAGAGTAGAA